CTTTACACATATGCTGTTATGTATGATAATCAATGTGTGTAACTGTATCTGAGTATACCTGAATAAACTAACTAACTTACTTACTTATTTATAAATTAAAATGTAAATATTTCTTACTTATAAATTAAAATGTAAATATTTCTTACTTATAAATTAAAATTAAAATTATAAATTAAATTAGATGGGGTTGTAAGAGAAGTAAATGCGAGGGTCTTGGCAAGAGGCGTGGAGTTAAAAGATAAAGAATCACACATAAAGTGGGAGTTGTCACAGTTGCTCTTTGCTGATGACACTGTGCTCTTGGGAGATTCTGAAGAGAAGTTGCAGAGATTGGTGGATGAAATTGGTAGGGTGTGCAAAAGAAGAAAATTGAAAGTGAATACAGGAAAGAGTAAGGTTATGAGGATAACAAAAAGATTAGGTGATGAAAGATTGGATATCAGATTGGAGGGAGAGAGTATGGAGGAGGTGAATGTATTCAGGTATTTGGGAGTGGACGTGTCAGCGGATGGGTCTATGAAAGATGAGGTGAATCATAGAATTGATGAGGGGAAAAGGGTGAGTGGTGCACTTAGGAGTCTGTGGAGACAAAGAACTTTGTCCTTGGAGGCAAAGAGGGGAATGTATGAGAGTATAGTTTTACCAACGCTCTTATATGGGTGTGAAGCATGGGTGATGAATGTTGCAGCGAGGAGAAGGCTGGAGGCAGTGGAGATGTCATGTCTGAGGGCAATGTGTGGTGTGAATATAATGCAGAGAATTCGTAGTTTGGAAGTTAGGAGGAGGTGCGGGATTACCAAAACTGTTGTCCATAGGGCTGAGGAAGGGTTGTTGAGGTGGTTCGGACATGTGGAGAGAATGGAGCGAAACAGAATAACTTCAAGAGTGTATCAGTCTGTAGTGGAAGGAAGGCGGGGTAGGGGTCAGCCTAGGAAAGGTTGGAGGGAGGGGGTAAAGGAGGTTTTGTGTGCGAGGGGCTTGGACTTCCAGCAGGCATGCGTGAGCGTGTTTGATAGGAGTGAATGGAGACAAATGGTTTTTAATACTTGACATGCTGTTGGAGTGTGAGCAAAGTAACATTTATGAAGGGGTTCAGGGAAACCGGCAGGCCGGACTTGAGTCCTGGAGATGGGAAGTACAGTGCCTGCACTCTGAAGGAGGGGTGTTAATGTTGCAGTTTAAAAACTGTAGTGTAAAGCACCCTTCTGGCAAGACAGTGATGGAGTGAATGATGGTGAAAGTTTTTCTTTTTCGGGCCACCCTGCCTTGGTGGGAATCGGCCAGTGTGATAATAAATAAAATAAAAAAATAAATAAAAAATTAAAATGTAAATATTTCTTATTTATAAATTACATTCATATAGTGTTTGTGGATAGTGGTGGTGGCAGAAACCTGTACGGCTTCTCTCAGTGGCTATTATAAACCCAACAACAACACTTCTGTTATTACTGCTCTTGCTGATGAACAACGATTTAGTGCCGATGGAGGTAGCGTAGGTAACAATGATACGGCCTTGGACTAGTTTGGCTTTAATTGGATAGGAGTGAGTACACAACGGGCAATGTGAGGAAATGACCGATAGCCAGTCCGTGGAGGGGAGCACTTGTACCTCTAAAGTCAATCGGCCGTGAAGTGAGGACGAGTGGGCCCAGCGTCCCACTGACCTGGGTGAGCCTACAGAGGGCAGCACTTAAATGCCGCGAAATATGAACTAAGCTGGCAGACAGCATAGGCTGTCTGTGCTGACAGTACAGGCTGTCTACATTTGCTTGGCCATGCACCTCGCGTCGTCCCGCCGCGACAATACTGGTGGGCCCGTAGGTGCAAAAGAATTACTTACAGCACAATACAAGCCTTGCCTGGGGGTGAGCTGCAAGAGTAGGAAAACTCTCAAAACTTACTTCATCTCACTCATGCTTGTTGTTAATGACAGGTATGATGTTGCAGCTTTTCCCAGAGTTCACAAAACATAATATCAAGTAACTTGGATAATGTATTTGCTTAAATGATACTCTGAAAGCTTGAGGCTTTTTAGAGTATTGTTTGAGGACTGAATTAAAGTGGGATGATTGGTGATACAAACCAACAGTGTATAGGAAAGCACCAAGACTTCCTTAAGGCAGTCTCACAGGTGAAGTCTCGAAAACAAGGCTACGTGTAATATGCAATTTTTGAAAAATTGAGACACTTATGCAACATATGGGAATCTTTATTGAAGAAACGTTTCACCACACAGTGGCTTCATCAGTCCAATACAAAGTAGAAATGGGTAAGGAGAGGAGGAGATTAAGGTAATCAGTCCCTCAGCCTGGAATCGATGTGTTCAGTCCATCACTCTTGTAGGAAGTACAGCAGAGAGCCAGAGAGGTGGCTTATATACTGCAGTCAGGTGAGTCGAAGCAAGAGGAGGCGGGATCACAGTGGGACCTGCCACTAGTGTAAGTAGGTCGTCGTCCAAAGGTTGGACAAGCGTTGAAGAATTCTTTGTACCAAGATCCCATGATGTTGCAGTGTCTGACAGATGTTATGAATGGTTTAGAAAATTGACAAGTGGAAGGTTCCACTGTGATCCCACCTCCTCCTGCTTCAACTCGCCTGACTGCAGTATATAAGCCACCTCTCTGGCCCTATACTGTACTTCCTACAAGAGTGATGGACTGAACACATCGATTCCAGGTTGAGGGACTGATTACCTCAATCTCCTCCTCTCCTTACCCATTTCTGCTTTGTATTGAACTGATGAAGCCACTGTGTGGCAAAACGTTTCTTCAGTAAAGATTCCCATATGTTGCATGAGTGTCTCAATTCTTCAACTTGTCGGTTTTCTAAACCATTCATTACACTATTTTTCACATCTGAGCTATTTTATAAATAAGCCATAAAAAACTTTGGCAGTTATCCAGATCATTTCAAATGATCTTCCATGAACCAGGAAGGCATGCTTCATAAGAGCTTTTAACCCTTTGACTATTTCGGTCGTATGTATAAGGTCTTACGAGCCACCGTGCTTGACATATATATACTCATAAATTCTAGCGGCTTCAAATCAAGCGGGAGAAAGCTGGTAGGCCCACATGTGACAGAATGGGTCTATGTGGTCAGTGTGCACCATTTAAAAAAAATCCTGCAGCACGCAGTGCATAATGAGAAAAAAAAAAGCTCCAACTGTTTTTTTTAATTAAAATGCCAACTTTGTGGTCTAGTACCGAACTTGCACACGAAAATCACTCACTACAAAAGCAAAAGACCTGGCAGACGATGCACCATCCCCCCAATGAAAAGCAGGGGTGTCACTAGCACGTTAAGAGACCATACAATAAGTGTCAGGGGCCCGAGACTGTTCAACTGCCTCCCAGCACACGTAAGGGGGATTACCAACAGACCCCTGGCAGTCTTCAAGCTGGCACTGGACAAGCACCTAAAGTCAGTTCCTGATCAGCCAGGCTGTGGCTCGTACGTTGGTTTGCGTGCAGCCAGCAGCAACAGCCTGGTTGATCAGGCTCTGATCCACCAGGAGGCCTGGTCACAGACCGGGCCGCGGGGGCGTTGACCCCCGGAACTCTCTCCAGGTAAACTCCAGTATTTATGGTTGTATTCTCGTTTTCTTGGTCTCATTTGATAGAATGGAAAAATATAGAAATAGAGGTGATTTTGATTGGTTTTACTATAAAAAGAACCTGGAAATGGAGCTCAAAGTAGGGAAAATGTTTGATTTTTGCCGATGTTCAAAAGTAAACAAATGATGTCATTGTTCAATAAATGTCCAATTAGCCATTCTAATATGCAGTCATGAATGGGTTGACATTGTACAATTATTACAGTATTGCAGTAGTCTGCATAACAGTAAATCTTCTATTTTTTGTTTGAATAAAAATTCAAAAAGAAAGCAAGAGTAATATCAGAGAGGCCTGGAGACATGACAGATGAACAAAGAAAATGTTATTTTAGAGCCAGGAATGTCTGCATTGTTCATTCTGGACCTTATTTTGAAATTGTCACATTTTTTAATTTTCATGAAATTGGCCAAATTGCAAATTTCTGACCACGTTACTGGGTAGCTAAAATCGGTAAATGGGCAGTTTCTTGTGCTCAATCGATAGAAAAAACGGAGTTCTAAAGAAATAGCTATGAGTTTGGTCGACTAAAGCAATGGAATTACCCGAAAATAGGGCTCAAAGTGGGCGAAATTGCTGATTTGTAAATATCACCAAGGTCGCTTACTTCGTGAGAGCATAATTCCGTCAGTTTTCCATCAAATTTCGTTCTTTTGGTGTCATTACAATCGAGAAAAGATTCTCTATCATTTCTTAAGTTTTTTTTTTTTTTAAATTTTGCAACACCAGGACACACCTCAGGATTGGGGGTTGCGACAGTCAAGGGGTTGAAGGTCAAGGATTCTAGGAATTATCAATTAGCTATGGTTTACTCTTGAAATATCCCTGGCCATTGTCTCTATCTTATGCCTGTTTGGTATGCAATTCTTAAACATATACATTTTTTTTTTATTAACACGTTTGCTGTCTTCCACTGAGGTAGGGTGACCCAAGAAAGAAAGAATGAAACACTTTCACCATCATTCAACACTTTCACCATCATTCAACACTTTCACCACCATTCAAACATAATCAGTCTTTGAAGAGGCGCTTAAATACGACAATTTAGATGTCACTTCAAACAGTCAATATCCCAAACCCTTCCTTTAAAATGCAGGCATTGTACTTCCCACCTCCAGGACTCAAATTTGGCTAAGCACAAACATCTACATTAAATATTTGCTTTGGTAAGTAGCCCTGTTTCTATAAAAGCCTTTATTTTGTCTGAAAATGTAAACATGACTGCACTGTCAGTACTGCGACACTTTTCCTGTAACAATGTTATAAAATCTTTCGGCTTTTGCTAAACTTGTGAAACCATATACATTAATTTATAAGAAAATAAAAATGAAAACATGAAAAACAACAGTGCATTAGCCAAGAAGACCTTCATATTTGCTACAGTACCTCAGACACTATTTTTGCACAGCCAGTAAACCAGTTCTGAATTTCCTTGATTGCTATGAACATCTTTTCCAGGCAGAGGAAAGTCTTGAAAACGAGGTACTGAGAGGCAGCCCACTGATGTTCTGGAGGAAAATCATCTAAATCTGCAAGTAGTACACCAGAAATGATGAAATGGAGCTTATATTAGTGTGGACAAATAAAACATTAACAAAAATATTCTTCCTGTGCATACAGAAAACTGCTGTTCATATACTGTATCTTACAGCACTGAAGAAGCTATTTTTTTTCCCAAGTCTCAAAAATTTACCCAGCATCTTGGAGGACAAAGGTCACATAAAAACACATAAAGGAGCACTGCAGCAGGCCTACTGGCACATATTAGGCAGGTCCAAGACACACCTACATTGCTCAGAGGCCTGAACCTAAGCCTAGAGAAGTTTTTGATACTAAACAGTAATATAAGCTCCTGTACATAATTCAATAATGAATCATGTAAACTATTTTGTATGAAATAATGAATGAACGACAAAAGTTCGTTGGCAATTAGCAGCAATAGGCTAAGGTAAACCAGGTGATGGAATTGGAAGAACTACTGAAAGTGTCAGTAGATTAATTCGCCTGTTTACTATCAAACCGCCCAGTAATAATATTTATACTCACCTCAAATAATCTTGATATTAAGGGAATATTATCAGATTTAACCCTTTGAGGGTCTGTCCCGTAGTTCTACAGCTTTGAAGCCAGGGTCCAAGCTGTAGCACCTATGTCATGAGCTCAGCTCACTCAGATAAGCTGTGAGTGGTAAATTTGGGCCTAGATATGAAAGAACGCATCTATGTGGTAAGTGTGCACCATATAAAACAAAGCTTGCAGCATGTAGTGCATAACAAGAAAAAAAACTGTGACAGTGATTTTGGATTAAAACTGGGACTGTCGTGCATTTTTGTATGGTTTTAACAGCTGTATTTGCGGTTTCATCTCAGTTGATAGAATGGAAGATATATTACAGAAATAGAGATGATTTTGATTGGTTTTAGTAATAAAAATAGCTTGAAATCGAGGTCAAAGTAGCGAAAGTGTTCAATTTATGCCAATGATAAAGAGTAAACAAATCACATCACATGTCCAATACATGTCAGCTGGTGGGTCTGATGTGCGTTCACGAGTGCGCTGATATTATTTGTACAATTATTACAATATTGCACGACAGTAACTCGTTTATTTTTTGGTGTGAATAAAAATTCTTTATGTGAATAAAAAATCAAAATGGATTTCATCTGTAAAGCCTGGAAACATAACTAACAAACAGGAAATGTTATTTTAGTACCACGAATGCCTGCACTGTTTATTCTGGACCCAATTTTGAAATCAGTCTCTCTTGAATTTTGTGAGAAATTGGCCAAATTAGTAATTTCAGATCACTTGATTGGGTAAATGGAGCAGTTTCTTGTACTCAATCAACAGAATAAAAGTTCTAGCAACAAAACTATGAATTTGGTTGGCTGAAACAATGTAATTGGCCAAAAATAGGGCTGAAAGTAGACAAAATCGCTGCTGCATAAATATCGCCACGACCGCTAATTTCGCAATAGGACAATTCCGCAAATTTTCCATCAAATTTTTTACTTTTTGTTTTAATACCTTCACAAAAAAATATCATTTCGTAAGAAGTTTTTTATTTAATTATTTTTTTGGGGGGAAGGGGAGGGGAGGGGGGAAATCTTGGACCCTGTGGGGAATTTTCAGACTGGGGGTCTGGATCCTTAACCCCTTGACTGTCACAACCTCAAACCCTGAGGTGTCTCCTGGTGTCACAAATTTAAAAAAAAAAAAAAAAAAAAAAATTCTTATGAAACGATAGAGAATCTTTTCCCAACTGTAATAACACCAAAAGAACGAAATTTGATGGAAAACTGACGGAGTTATGCCCTCGCAAAGTTAGCGGTCTCGACAATGTTTACGCATCGGCAATTTTGCCCACTTTGAGCTCTATTTTCAGCTAATTCCATTGTTCCAGTCGTCCAAACTCATGACTATTTCTTTAAAACTCCATTTTTTCTATCAACTGAGTACATTTTTTTACAATGGGAAAAATAAAGGTCGGGGCACTATGCACGTGAACGTAGATCTACATTTGGACAGTTTAAGGGTTAATAGTAAAATATTTTTAAAAATGCATGAAAAACCATCACAAATCAATATGCAGTCCTGGCCGTAGCCACATCCACTTGCACGCATCAAGACAGTGAATAGAAAGAGAACACGGCCATTCAGTATGCAAAAACAAACAATGGAAATCAAGGACCCCCCATGGAAACCAAGGACCCCATATAGAAATCAAGAACCCCATATGGAAATCATGGGCCCCATGTGGAAATCAAGGCCCCCATATGGAAATCAAGGACCCCATATAGAAATCAAGGCCTCCATATGGAAATCAAGGCCTCCATATGGAAATGAAAGACCCCATATGGAAATATGTCACTTGTCTGGCTTTTTTGGGTTATCCTAGGTAATTTACACACATGGAGCTATGTATGATAATTTGTGTAACTATTTTGGATGTACCTGTACCTAAATAACTTACTAATCTGAAAACCAATGCAATGATTCATGAAATCGTAATGACATGATTGCAAACAAAACCATACCACGGGCGGGGATAGAGCCCGCAATCAGAGAGTTCTATCCCCACCCGTGGTATGGTTTCCTAAGCGATGATGTAAGAACAGAGGGAGATATGTCTTTGTTCATTGCTGAACATTGGTTATTACAGGTAATTGACCATTTAAGTTAACTCTGCACTGAGCATTTTGTTGACGGTTCTGAATGCAAACACCTTTTAAGTTCAGGATTGGGATTTAGCAGATCTAGAATAATCACCAGTATACTGGCACATTTCTTAGCGCTGTTTCACACAAATGTAGCTTGTTTTAGCTGATCCAGCTGACTGGCAAACCTGCCAGTCAGCTGTATCATGATAAATACCCACAGAATGAACCATCGACATGTTTGTATATGTAATGCATCAGGCTTAGCATTATTATTGTTTTTGCCATGGATATTGTTTCTTTTTTCTGAAATTTAGCCAGTCAGACTTGCGGGGGTTTCCTTGGCACTGGAGTGCCTTGTTTGGCATAAAGAAGGCAGCTGATAATTTAACAATTATAAATTCCAAACTCGACAAAGTACCAACCTTTCAGTTGTCTTTCTATTTGAAGACGAGCACCGTAACGCGTCACACCATACACTGTAGTCATGACCGTCTGCTTAATAACCTTGCGCTTCACATGACCTTCCAATACTTGTGCTATCTTATGTCCAGCAGCAGCATCCATCTCCCTCTCTTTCTCTACCAATGCTGCTATAGCTGAGTATACATCCTGTTACACCATACAGTTGTTATTGATCAAGTATTAAACAAATTTAAATGTGACAGAAATTTATACCCAGGAAAATTTAAGTGAAAAATTAAAACTGTTTATTACTATGCACTTACCATACCACAGACGGGGACAGAACCCACGATCAGAGAGTCTCAAAACTCCAGACCGTTGCGTTAGCCACTGGACCAGCTAGCCACTATAAGATTCGTCCAACTAGGCATATTTCTACACCATAGGAAGGTTAGCATAGGCACCAATGTGACCACAAATGCAAGTTTTTACAGACGAATCTCCAGCTAGCGTGGTCGTGATGAACTCCAGCTCAAGTCCCCTCAAAGCCGTCAGCATGACTCATAAAATCGTAATGACACAATTGCAAACAAACTATACCACGGACGGGGAGTTTTGAGACTCTCTGATCGCGGGTTTTATCCCCATCCGTGGTATGGTTTGTTTGCAATCCTGTCATAACGATTTCGTGAGTCACTATGCACTTACCTTTTCTCCACTTAAACTGTACTAAACAAACATCTAGCCATATCTCACTTGGTATCAGTGCACTTTCCAAACTGCAACATCCTCACCCCTCCTTTAGAATGCAAGTACTGCACTTTCCACCTCCAGGACTAAAGTCCATCAAACTGGTTTTCCATTAATAAATGTCATCTTCTATACACTCAAACAGGACATCATCATAAAACCACTTGCCACCAGCACCTCGATCTAACACTCTCACATAAGCTTGTTGAATATTCCAGCCTCTAATACTCAAAACTCCCTTTACCCTCTTCCTAGCTGCCATTTCAGAATGGCACACAAAAATCCAAGATTAACACCAATATTAAGAACTTCTCCCTCTTCTTTCAGCTGTCTCCCAGGAAATATCATTGTGCAATGTGATATTTACATAAGCATCAATTTCTTAATGTTCCTTGCATACACAATATCATTTTACATGTATTTTAAATTTTACTAAACATAAAACAATGTACATTTAACCACAAATAAATTTAAAAAAGGGCAAGACAGATCAAGCAGAAGGAAGCCTAAGCAACATTAAAATTATTATGATGAAGTGATTTTTTTTTTTTAACACATCGGCCATTTCCCACTGAGGCAAGGTTACCCCCCCCCCCAAAAAAAAAAACTTTCATCATCATTCAATACTTTCACCATCACTCATATACAATCACTGTCTTTACAGAGACACTCAGATACGACAGTTTAGAAGTTCCTCCAAACTAACTGGTTTCCTTGAATCCCATCACAAAATATTACCCTGCTCACACTCCAACAGCTCGTCAGGTCACAAAAACCATTCATCTCATTCACTCCAATCTAACATGCTCGTGCATGCTTGCTGGAAGTCCAAGCCCCTTGCCCACAAAACCTCCTTGACCCTCTCCCTCCAACCTTTCTGAGGACAATCCCTACCCTGCCTTCCTTCCCCTACAGATTTATATGCTCTCCAAGTCATTCTACCTTGTTCCATTCTCTCTAATGACCAAACCACCTCAACAACCCCTCTTCAGCCTTCTGATTACTACTTTTAGTAACTCCACACCTCCTAATTTCCACACTCCGAATTCTCTGCATAATACTTACACCACACATTGCCCTTAAACAGGACACTTCCATTGCCTCTAGGCACCTCCTTGCTGAAGCACTTATAACCCAAGCTTCACACCCATATAAGAGTGTTAGTACCACTATACTTTCGTATATTCCCTTTCTTGCTTCCGTGGATAACATTTTTTTGTCTTTGCAGATACCTCAAGTCACCACTCACCTTTTTTTACTTCATCAAGTCCTTCATAAGCCCATCCACTAACAAGTCAACTCCCAAATATCTGAAAACATTCACTACTTCTATACTCCCTCTCTTCAATGTGATATCCAATTTTTCTTTATCTAAATTGTTTGATACCCTCATCACCTTACTCTTATCTATGTTCACTTTCAACTTACTACCTTTACACACCCTCTGAAACTTGTCCACTTACCTTTGCAATTTTCTTCAGAATCTCCCAAAAGCACAGTATCATCAGCAAAAAGTAACTGTCAACTACCATTTTGTATTTCATTCTCCATAATTTAATCCCACCCCTCTCCCCAACACCCTATCATTTACTTCTTTTACAACCCCATCTATAAATACATTAAACCAAAGGAATTTCAGTAGCCCATCTAATAACTTGGCTGGTAGGTCTTCTAATAAACATATGAGATCGATCTATCATCTTTTAAAACAGCTGTACAAGCTTTCCCCCTTTATTATTATTATTACAAATTATTATTATTACAAATTATTATTATTACAAATTATTATTATTACAAATTATTATTATTACAAGTTATCATTATTACAAGTTATTATGTATTATTATAATCATAATAAAAAAGAAGCGTTAAACCCACAAGGTTCGTGAATAGGTATAGACAGAGTGAAAGCATATGAAAGTAATAAATTTCTAGTTAAGTTACTGGTGTTTGACTAGAGAAAACGTAATTCTTCAGACCCTCCAACCAACCGCTTGGTAAACAAATCTTTTATGTCAATTTTTGAAGAATTGACACACTTATGCAACATATGGGAATCTTTATTGAAGAAACGATTCCAGGCCGAGGGACTGATTCCCTCAAACTCCTCCTCGCCTTACCCATTTCTACTCTGTATTAGACTGATGAAGCCACTGTGTGGAGAAACATTTCTTCAATAAAGGTTCCCATATGTTGCATAAGTGTCTCAATTCTTCAACCTGTCAGTTTTGAAAACCATTCATCATGTCAATTTTTATACTGTGGGTGTATCACCTTAATATGTTACGTAGTGTGTTTATTATATAATTTTGAAAAAAATATAGATGGATTAATAGAAATGTCCACATTAGCTTAATCTACGACATTGAATGCGCCCAAGAGATTACATGTATTATTATTATTATGGTGTGAAGAGTAGCGACACTCTTAGTGATTTTAATGTATACCAGCACAGTATGTAAGTACAGTGGTCCCTCAATAATTGCTGGGCTCGATAGACATGCTTTTCGGAAACTGTCACATTACTTTTGTCCAAACATTGGCTCGCAAATGGTCGGTTGACTTGCTAATCATCGTTCGTCCTGGACGCATACTCACGGCTCTGAGCCGCCTCGGCCCCCCTTCCCAGCCAGTGTGCCACTGTTTACCAGTGAGCGACGGTCCCCTGACTTGTTCATACAAAATATTTCATAATATTCCATTCATTTTAGAGCTTGAAAGTGCTAAATAAGCTACCAAGGCTCCAAAGAAAGCTCCTAGTGCCAAGTCTTTGGTAAAGAAGGTGAGAAATACGATTGAATTTAAGAAAAACATCATTGAACAATATGAAAGTGGCGTACGTGTGGCCGAACTGCCCAGGATGTATAACAAACCCCATACAACCATATCTTCTATTGTGGCAAAGAAAAAGGAAATCAAGGAAGCTGTTGTTGCTTGGAGAAAATTGTGGCCAGATTGTGTCCACAAGAGGGATTTTGAAGGGTTTGTGGCTGACCCTGAGAGCCTATGTCAGTTGTGAAATCTATTGTGGCACTGGGGAGTTCCATGGGGTTGGATGTGAGTTTGGAAGATGTGGAAGAATTGGTGGAGGACCACAGCGAAGAGCTAACCACTGAGGAGCTGCAAGAGCTTCAGCTGGAACAGCAACAGATCGCAGCTCAGAATCTTGCTGCAGAGGAGGAGGAAGAGAGATGGAAGAAGGTGCCTTCTTCAGAAATTAAGATTTTTGAAATGTGGGGTATGATGGAAAGATTTATGGAGAAACATCACCCTGAGAAGGATGTTGCAAGCCATATTGGCAACTTGTACAGTGACAGAGTCTTGGCCCATTTTAGGGAAGTTCTAAAGAGACGCAAGAAACAGAGCTCTCTGGGCACTTTTCTTTTGCGAGACAAGACTCCAGTGACTCTCAAGCTGGTCCTAGTGGCATTAAGAAACAGAGAAGTGAATTATGTAACCCCAGAAAAGGACTTGCTACCTGAGATGTTCCAAACGGTAACTAATCCAGTCTCTCTCCTCCTCCAGTCTTCCATACACTAAGAAGAATCGCCAATAGAGGTAAGTGTTATTCTGTTAATGTTTCATTCATCATGTGCCATTGTATTGTTTATGTACTACATCTATATTTCATGTAAAAAATTTTTTTGTTTTTATACTTCTGGGTGTCAGGAACGGATTAATTGTATTTACATTATTTCTTATGGGGAAAATTAATTCGAAAATCGTCTATTTCGATAATTGTCGCACTTCCAGGAACGAATTAATGACGATAAACGAGGGACCACTGTATATTTAGGCACAGGTACACATAAGTATAATTATCAGAGTACATATAAAATATGCAATAACTTTAAAACACTGGAAATTTTGGAAAATTTCCAGACATAATAGAAATGTGCTCATGGAGATCGTAAACAAACTGGGTGGGACGCGCCATATCTGAAAGACCGCTCGCCATATAGCAAATTTTGGTCATAATTTGAAATCGCCGTGGGGCCCCAATGTCTTTTGGAGTAGACTTGTCAGAGGATGGGTTTATTAAGGACAAGGTTAACCATAGAACTGATGAAGGAAAAAAGGTGAGGGGTGCATTGAGGTATCTGTGGAGTTAAAAAAAAAAAATATCCATGTAGGCAAAGAAGGGAATGTACGAGAGTATAGTGGTACCAAGACTCTTATATGTGTGTGTGAAGCTTGGGTTCTAAATGCTGCAGCAAGGAGGAGCCTGGAAGTACTGGAGATGTCGTGTAAAAGGGGCAATGTGTGGTGTAAATATGGTGCAGAAAATTCGTAGTGTGGAAATTAGTAGGCGTGGGGTTACTAAAAGTATTATTCAGAGAGCTTAAGAGATGTTGTTGAGGTGGTTTGGTCATTTAGAGAAGATGAAGCAAAACAGGATGACTTGGAGAGTATAAATCTATAGTGGAGGGGAGGAGGGGTAAGGGTTGTCCTAGGAA